GTTTTGTGCAAATCGTATGCTGATTTATCTATTTTGATATTTATGAAAGTAGAATTTCACTGGAATTATTCACAATTTGCAGGCTGCTGGTTTGGCTCAGGAAACACGGTGGAGACTTTCACGGGACCAGGTGGATCAGCTGATGTCAGCGACGAGTTGACGGCTTGGAGCTGGTCGTTGAAGAAACCACTGGAGACTCTTGCAAACATCGCTGGAGCTGCAAGCATTCGCATGTAAACTTCTGCTTCTCTTGATGTTCATTCTATGACCCACATTTTAACAAATAAACGACTTGAAGAATAACCTGCTTTGTCGTTTTTTTTTGAAAACGTCTAATGAAGTGCTCAACACCTAAGGCAACCGATTAATGGCGTGATTATCTCTGAAGGGAACAAAATGCATGAACCAGTTATTTTTTACGAGGGAGATGCACGTTTTCGGGATTAATGCATGGCTTTGGGGAGTAATCATTGTCGCCAGCGGATATGATACTGGAGAAGAATTAGACTTAGTGGTGGAGATGTTCCCACCGCCAGATGCCAGGCGTCCCCAGTGTGCACTCAGGAAATGTCAACATTTTGTCCGACTTTCAGACATACGTAGACTTTGTCTTTGCTAGATATCCACATTTCCGTCAAAAATGTCAGTTGCCGATGTCGGAAATGCCAGAGTCGGTTACAAAAACAAAAGGCTGTGTTATTACTTAAAACCCGCGTAGATCGCCGTCAGTCACAATTCGGACATATCTACTCGACAGGTCATGAGACGAAATGCGAATATTTGCAGGAGTGCAGACGTTATTATTAAGAAAATGCGTGTGATATTAGAGGAATTTCAGCCTATGCTTATTTCGACCTCTGTGCGCCCCCTAAATCGAATCTGTTACAGTCCTTGTTCGAAAATGAAATTGTAACCTCAAGTGAAAATTACTTTCGTCTTAGTGATCGAGTGATTTTCCTCACAGTAAAATAACACTGTTAAGGAAGCTCCAGTTCTGAAAATGAAGTGGGTTCGGTCTCCGAAGTTGCTCCAAAGAGAAACCGCAGTGTTCTGCATACTTACTTGATTCCCTCCGACAACGAAGACGTTATTAATCAGTCATTGTAAATATCTGTATTTTCCACTCAGAAGCCTTTTTACATGCAAGGTAAAACAAATGCGATGGATTTGTGATAGACAACGAAACACACTATTCCAAGCTTAAATTAGTGTGGATTCGACAATCTACAGGACTGTTTCACCGAACATAGGTGCAAGATGTACAGTCAAGTTCAAATTCACTGAATGTGCAGATGCAATACGAGTCTCTAACGTACTTGGTGGTTTCAACTTTTTCAACTGTGCGTGTTGATCTATTCGCATAAATTCGAAATGTATGTTCCAGGAGAGCAAACCAAGGGTGGCAAAGAGAAGATGCGAAAAATTAAATAATGATTTCTGATTTTAGAGCCCTTGTACATAGGAACGGTGAACACACACATTGAGTTTTAAATTAAGCACAGCAGCAGGTCGTCAGTGGCGTGCACAATCGTCGGGCGTGTACGTCACTGAACAATGGCTGCGTCCCTAAAACCGGTCACGCGACAGATGCGCTGGATCAACACACGGGCTAGAACAGGGTCTGTCTGGCATTAATTGGAAACAGGCACTCAGCAAGTTTCAACATTGTGTCGACTTCAACTTGCCAGGTAAACCGCATTTCTAACAAAAATTTCAGGTTCCAAAGTCATATAATCGCCAAAGTCCGTTTTTAGAACAAAGGATGAGGTAAGTATTTAAAAAACAGGTAGATCGTGAACAGTCACAATTTAAACCTGTATACTCGGGAAATCATCAAACGAATTACGAAAAGCTGGATTTATTGCGGTCTTTATCAAAATAAACATACGCATGGTAGCATAGGAAATGCAGCTTATAAAAACTGCACCATCTGTACGTCCCCAACATCAATCTGTTGCTGTCCTTGGTAGAAAAAAAATCGGGAAATTCAAGTGAACATTATTGTCGGCCCAGCAATTGAGTGATTCTCATCACATAAAAATGACACTGCTAAGAATGCTTTACTTATGAAAAATAAGTGGGTTCAGTCTCCGAAGTTGCTCTTATCTGGTGTAATTCGAACCCATGGTAGTAAAGAGAGGCCTTAGTGCACCCAACTCACTAGCCACCTGTGATACGAGGCCCCACCGCACGACGCGAGTTGAATCACATCTAAATCAAGTTTACCCATCCGATCTACTGCAACGTCTAAAATCCACCAAATCTGATAAAGCAAGCTGACTTCCGAAGCAGGATATTCTAATTTATACATCCAGAATCCAGCAGATGGCTACGGGTCTCACGTAATGCATAGGTATTATGGCAGATACGATTAATGTAGCGTCATCCGGTTGAGACTCTTAGCTCGGATGGCATGAGCGTTGGCTGTACTAAGTCCATCTCTTGCTGTAGTGGTTTCATACCCCACCGAGGCGTCGAGTATTTCATATGCGTGTCAAAGTATCTGGTCTTTGTACTTGAGTTTAATACGGCAATATCGACAATAGTCGGCCAAGCTGCAATAGGCTCGCCTTGCGAGTCAAAATAAGGAGATATGGATTACTTGACATAGTTAAACCCTTGCTGTCGTGGGTTCGATTCCCACCGTGGCACCGATATTTAACAATTCAATCAACGTGGATGCGTGAGACTTTAAGAAATATATTCTGTAAACTGAAGGAGCTCTCTGTTCTGCGGATAGGCAATTTAGGAGTATGCAGTTGTTAAACTTTCAGGTGTGGCACAACACTGACATGCCAGGTAAATTGCCCGCGATCTGGTTGAAAAGCTGCAGCTCTGTATTTCGACTAACAAACATTGCACTCATTGCATTAGGGCACCTGTCCTCATTATTCAAAAACCAAGAGACAGACGCGAGCAGATCACGCCACTCTAGGTGCACTGATTTGTACTAAAATCTACTGATCCTATGCAGAGGGGGGGGGGCTGGCTGGGTAGCGTTTCCTGTGTGCAGATTGCAGGCACGCCCGCGTTGCGTGTCATCAGGGTGGGGCATCGATTCCCGTGAAAGAAGAGGATGAGGCACTCTCTACTCGATCTCCTTTTCAGTCTCACAGCGACTGCTGCCCTGAATTACGCTAGCCCTTCGCCTAAGCTCAATGTAGCCACAGGTGATCCAGATGCTGGTGTGGAATTGTTGTCTTTCAGCGGCTGAACGTTACACTAAGTCTCCTTTAGAGCGTGTTATCGATCAGAGTTAGGCAAACACCAAGCAAAATCGCACTGCCTGAAAACTGCACAACATTTATGAAATACAGGCTTAAGATTTTATCCTGGGAAGGATAAACGACGGTGGCGTAAGTGACAGAGTAAGAGCAAGAAAGATTAAGTCAGATGATGCGTCGGCTCCACGGTGGCATGAAGGCGCGAGACGCAGACAATGGGACATAACAGGAGAAGTCAAGGTAAACGACCCCTAGGTAAGCTTAAAATTGCCTTGTTATCTTTGTCCGCTCACCATCTCCATTTAAGAAACGACCAACCTCAGCGACTAGACAACATAACGGTCGCCGCCGCCGCCGCTGACAAGAACGGCTCCGTGGAGAACTGTTAGGACAAAATCCAGTCGCAGGCGCTGGCCGTCCTCGGTCGCGCATCCCGCCACCTACAACCTGCTCTCCGAGAACGACCGACTGCAAAAAGCCTGCATAGACCACCGCACCGACGACGACAACAAAGCCGCCGCCTTGTGCAACAGCGGCTGCGCGAGATGCAGAATGCACGGACGGCCCGCAAGTCTATGGAGATCCAAGGGTACGCGGACCACAACTTCTTCTCCGCCACCAAGGCCATCTACTGTTTGCCCGCCAAGGGTTCTGCTCCTTTCATCGGTGCCGACTGACAAACCCCGCTCACCGAGAAGACACAAATTCTGCAGTGATAGGCCGAACAATTCAGAGGCGTCCTCAAAAATCCCTCCACCATCTCCGACACCGCCATCGCCCGCCTGCCCCAAGTGAAGACCAACACCAACATCGACCTCCCACCCTCTCTCCACGGACTATTAGGACCGTGCAGCAGATCTCCAGCGAGAAAGCGCCCGCATCGGACGCGAGCTCTGCGGAGGTCTACAAGCACGATTGTAACCAATTCATGGAGCACCCGTCGGCACTGTTCCAGGAGATGTGGCTTCAAGGAGAAGTCCCGCAGGATTTCAAATACGCCACTGTCATCCACCTATACAAACGGCTAGGAAACCGCCAGCTCTGCGACAACCACCGAGGCATCTTCCTGCTGAAAATTGCCGGTAAGATATTCGCTCACATTCTTCTCAACCGCCTGAACAATCACTTGGATTAAGGTCTTCTGGCGAATAGTCAGTGCGGATTTCGCCGTTATCGTGGCACCATGGACAGGATATTTTTCACCCACCGGCTGCAGGTAAGGCGTCAGGAGATGCGGACCCACCTGCACTTTACTTTCGTGGATCTGACGAATGCATTCGACAGGGTGAATTGTGACGAAATTTGGAAAATCATGCGGTGATTTGACTGCCCCGGACGATTCAGTCAGAGGGTGCGTCAGCTCTATGATGGCATGATGGCACGCACCACGGACAATGGAGCTGTCTCGGAGGAATTCGTAGTGACCAACGGAGTGAAGCAGGGCTGCGTGCTGGCGCAAAGCAGATCCGTCACGATTATGTCTTTTTAAGGATCCGAAAGCGGTCGAGCCCAGGACCAACTCCCTGCGTCACGCTATTGCTGCCGCCCGCAATCTAAAAAGCACCACACATCGACCCCGGCGGCAGCAGCAGCAGCAGCATCCAGAGAACCATGAACCCACTGGAGGCTCGGAGGACGAGGAGGAGGTGGAACACTGTCCTTCCCGCTTTGCACAGCCACCCCGCCCGATGAACTTGAGACTCGGATCCCGGTGGGCAGCCTCACACGCGAAAGCAGAGAGTCCACTGCCAGCGACGGCGAGAATTTGAGATCCGGATGCTGGCCGAACAGACGCGCAGGCAGGACGTGCTGGCCGACCGCCTCTACCAGGCCTACTCCCAACTCTCCAGTCTGCCGGTGCCAAGTCTGCTGCGGCCGATTTGTCAACTTTTGGGGTTACGTTGGCTGGGCAAGGGCGATCAACGCCAGGCAGCACGCTTTCTGAGTCAGTCCGTTCCTCTGGCGGCATCCAGTCTCTACGCCTCCATCCTCTGCTCGAAAATAAAGTAAGCTTGCGGAGGGGGAGGGGTGGAGGGGGAGAGGTGACGTCGTCTTGGGGCACGCGAGCGGCAATTGGGTCGTGTTCGTGGCTGTCATTGGCCAGGGGCGCATTAAGGTCATGTCATTGTTCAACCAGTGAGCGAACGGAGACAGTGCCCGCACACGGTAGTGATGACGAAGACGGTGCATGTGTGTGCGTGTTGTTGTTTGCCCTCAAAACGGGCCACGTGGTAGATGCGCTGGACCAACACGGGGGCCACATCGGACCCTGGCAGGCGTTATCTGTGAGCAATAACAAATGCCAACATCTGAGGGGTGCGCTGGCAGATCACGTTGTCGGCAGTCGTCGCACAACTGGACCGCTGTCATCACCCCATTGATTTGTGGTAAAATCCTGGTCATTTGTATGTGGACCAGGGGGTGCGGAGTGGAGCGCCAAGGTGAAGATCCGTCCAAGCCATCCACCTGCGACCTCCCACGTCTCCGGTATTCTTGACTTGGTCTTGACACCGGGCTCAGGCGGGGGAGGAGGAGAGAGTGTAGGTAGATGCTACGCAAGTCTACTGGCACTATAAACCCCTGCGTAAGTCACCGTACCTGCTCCCACAATGCAGTCTGTGGGGCACACGGTGGACATCGACGAAATCGACGGCCGAACTATCGTATGTGTGTGTGGGGTGTAGGGGTGTCCAGCGGTGGGATCACGTGATGGTCGTAGTGGTCGCTCACATGCTCGCAGGTGAGACTACGCCCAGCGTACATTTGCTGGCACCCAACTCTCACCTGTGGCTCCACGTAGTTGGGCTCTGCTCAGCGGCCACACCCCGGGCAACCGTCTCGACCGGCGGGCTAAACCAGGTGAGGGCGCTGTGCGCTTGTGCCGCGTGCACAGTGTACTGCGGACTCCGCTGGATGGATGGTCGGATGAAACACTGCGCCGGCATCGTCGAGACGAGGCTCTGCCTGGTACGCCTTTGGAAAACTGCTGCCGGGACGGGCCTCCGCATCGCCCTCGCTGAGACGCGCCTGCCTTCGCCGACGGAGACCGCGGACTCAAGGCATATGCGGTCGTCCTCCACTACGAACATAAAGGTCGTGGCCCCATAGTGGGATTCGGTCGCGCCAACCAGGCACATGGGCAGCCCGATTCAGTGATGGCACTGCCTGCCCCAACAAGGCGAACGGCCTAGAAAAGGTGGCCTAAAAATGCTGGGCACAACGACGTCTGCAGGCTGGAGACCGTGGACGCATCAAGATTACGATCTGCTCGAAAGGGTGCAGAGACGAGCAACAAAATTAATAAGAGGTCAAAGTGCACTGCCATACGAGATCCGCTTAACTAACCTTAATCTCTATCCTCTGAGTTATAGGCAGTTGCGCGGAGACATGATACAAACTTTCCGTATCGTGCGCGGCTTGGATTGTGTCCTTCGGCGCGATGACTTTTTCCAACTCGCCACTACAACTCAACTCCGGGGACATCCCTTCAAGCTACGTGTGCCACAGGGTAGACTGAATGTGAGAAAATATTTCTTCTCCAACCGTGTCGTGGAACCGTGGAATAACCTGCCCGAGACGGTTGTTATGTCTCAATCTGTGGACACATTTAAATGTAGCCTTGACAGATATATGCTGCAGCAACAAGCGGACTATGTGACATTTTTAGCCATGTGACTAGTGACATATGTGAATCAATGTATGCATTCACTTAATGCTGTAATTCCTTCACCTTTTTGCTTGTTTATCGATTTTTTTATGTACAAATAGGGAGTTCAAAGGCGTAAGCCTATTTCCCTCAAATACACTGACTGACTGACTGACTGACCGTTGTCTTCGCGTGCCCTGTTGCTGCGTAGCTTTCGTAGCTAGCATCGGTGATTTCTCTTTCAGATGGGTAGTTGCATGTCGCTGCATAGGTTAGAGGTGGAAGAACATGCGCTGGAGAGGAGGGCAAGGGCGGGATGTGTTGGTTATCGAATTTGAGATGGTGTTCGAAGTGCTCACTCCAGCTCCCGACTCAAGCCGAGTTGTTGAACACAAGAAATCCAAGGTGACATGTGATATGTCCTTTTCCCGAGTTGTGATCACAGAGCGTTGTCTCGCATGTTCATGTTTCCCAAATTTACGTCACTTGCCTTCCGTCGGTTCTTTCTCTTACCACCTAGATGTTAGCAGAAAATTAGAGATTATTGTCCAGTCGAGCATCGTTGGGCCAGGAAGCGCAGCCTCCCCGCACAGCCACTGCGCATGCCTGACCAGTCTCGCTAGTTGTTTTGTGGATGAGACTTTCCTCGAATCTTCTTTATTTTACATGGATGAGGATTTCCAGAGCGGAACAGCAGATCACCAAAAGGCAACTGATTTTTATTCAGATTGCTCTGCTATATTGTTATATATTTGGGCTCTGAAATTGACATAGGGCATGCAGGAAGACCTGCTGACAAAAAATAATTGTTTTTTTCGACTAGTTTAACGAGCCTTCTATAGAACCGCATCATGCTACATTTATATGGATGAAATAAAAACCGTAATAGCGATATTTGCAAATCACACAGGTGCTTACTGTGTACCGTGGTTTTATGAATCAGGTCTGTCATCCGCCTCTATTTTGGAAACAAAACATTCATGTAATGCACCAAAATTCAATCTTGTGTCGGATGCGTCTCCCCGGACTGAGTCGAACTGCCGCCATCATTGATCGCTGCCGTGTTCCACTTACAAGGTCACGTGGTGTGAACGCGAAATGTGCTGACGATGGCAGCTGTGCCAGCGATGTGAAGACCCGGAGTTCATGAGGTCCCTAACACTAACCAGAGCGCTAGGCTGTACTGTTATTGAAAAGTTTGAATTCCCGTGTGATTCGCCTTAGCGGCTAGCCAACTTACTCTAGCATACACTAAATGCACTGCATGCTCTCCGGTTTTTTGCACTAGCTTTGTGAATCAGATGAGGGCTTTGGAAACAGTGGATAGCGAAGACATCGGCGTTGGGAGGGGCGCACGATGACGCAATACCTGTTGGAAACCACAAGTAGTTGGACAGGGAATTTCCCTGAACACGCAGAACCCAAGGTGACAAATGGTAGGGCATGTTTCCCGAGTTTTCATAACAGAGCAGTGTCTCCAAGGTTTATTTTTTCAAATTTATACCAGTTGCCTTCTGCCGGTAATCGCTGTCGCCTAACGAATTTTTGCAGAAAATGTTTTAATTACTGTCCAGGCAAGTGTTGTTTCAGATAGCATAACCTTTCCGCACATTGTCTACACACGCGTGACCAGTCTCCTTAAACAATTTGTGGTTGAGACTTTCCTTATATTTACTTCATTTCACCTGGAGAGGGATTTCCAGCAAGCATCAGCGGATGGCCTAGACCTTAGTCGATTTTCTTTCAATCTGCCCTGCTATGGTATACACCCTTGATCCGAAATTGACATAAAGTATGTTTTCTCATTAGAATACCTACAAGTCACAGATCATTGCTTTCTTCGACTGATTAGCGCGTCTACTGTAGACTCAAGTACACCCTTCCCTACTAATGGTACGGGCTTTATACTCAGTTCTGAATTGACATGCGTCGAGTAACCAATCGCAATGACAGTTCGACCATCGATTTCGATGATGCCCACCGTGTGCCCCATAGCAAGTTGGAGCAGGGACGGTGACTTGCGCAGGGGTTTATAGTGCCAGTAGACTTGCGCTGCATCTACCTGCACTCACTCCTCCTCCCCCGCCTGGGCCCGGTGTCAAGACAGAGTCAAGAAGACCGGAGACGAGGGAGGCCGCAGGTGGATGGCTCGGACGGATCCTCGCCTTGGCGCTCCACTCCGCATCCCCTGGTCCACACAACAATAACCAGGATTTCAACCAACAACAGAGATTTGGAGGCTTGCACGACCGAAACCGCACCTGGGCGTGCCGCCAACGCCTGGCTCAGATCCCACACTGTGGTGGGAGTGCCATAAAGGCCACATTAAAAAGGAGCCATTGCAGCCTGACTCTCAGACCGCCTCCAGTTAAGGAGGAGGACAAAGTTACCCCGTCAGTTGTCAACCTTCCAAGCCACGGCTTTTAGCGCACCGTGATAGTTTCAAGCGCGTCAGATTGATTATAATGAGGAAAAAGTGCGCTGAGTCATCGACCTCATTCTCCCTTCCCATTCCCACACCCCAGCCGCCGACTGAGCCGGTCGACAAACTGGAGTGGGGAGTGGGCTCGGTGGCTGACACGGTCGACTGACCATGCCTGCGCGCGCCACAGCACGACCTGGCCCCCCATACACACACAAACACCAGAATTTCACACAACGGGGGTTGAACGGCGTGTTTCTCACTTGCGTGAGAGGGCCGTGGAAGGTGCTGCTTCAGCCCGTTCCCAGCCCACCAGTCCGCCACTCCACACAGCACACACACACACAACGCGACGAACTGCGTGAACCGAGAGCGGGCGTCAATCAGCAACCTTCCTATCCACGGCACTTGACGTGTCGGGATAGTCTCGGACTCAAATCACTTGTGCAGCCGAAGTCGCGTGGGGACCGAGTCGAGATGCACACTTCCTACTTGCGTGGAAGGTGGCAGTTGGTGCATGCGGTTGGTGAGTGTTGATGTGTGTTGGTGATGGTGGAGGAGGGTAGGGAGTGTGTGGATGTGTGGTGTAACCGGCGGTTGTATACGGCAGGTCGTCGTGGATGCGCATGTGGCCGAATAGGCCCATGCGGTGCCTGAAAGTGCGAGGACAGTGTGGGCAGTTGAGATGAGCTTGGTGGGTGTAGGTTGGTGCTCTAGGCACTGGTTCACCAGTCTCTGTGCGATGGAATCGCAAGTGACCGAACAGGCCGATGCGTGAGGTGAATGTGCGTGGACAGTGTGGGCATGTGAAGTCGGCGGTGTCAGGATCAGCTACAGAGGAGGAGTTAGTGGTGGCGTAGATGGACGGTGCGAGGGTGGTGCTGAGCATGATGGGCGTGTTGGTCGTGGTTGGTGTGTCGTAATTGTGGTCAATTCCGCTCTCGTGGATGCGCATGTGGCCGAATAGACCCATGCGATGCGTGAAGGTGCGAGGGCAGTGTGGGCAGTGGAGGCGAGTGCGCTGGGTGTAGGTTGATGTTCCAGGCACTGGTTCGCCGGTCTCTGTGCGTTGGATTCGCAAGTGAGCGACCAGGCGATACGTGAGGTGAAGGTGCGATCGCAGTGAGGGCAGGTGTAGTCCTGATTCTCATTGCTGGAGTCGGGAGAGGCGGGGGTAGTGCCGGTTGCTGTGTCGCGGTTGGTGATGTGCAAGACGGCTGCCTGAGTGGCCGCCGTTGGGGCAGTGGTGGTGGTGGCGGATGAGGAGGAGGAGGAGGAGGAGGAGGGGGAAGAGGAGGGGGAGAAGGAGGAGGAGGAGGATGGAAGTGGTGGAGCAGAAGAATTGTCAGAGTTAGTTGGCGGTAGAAAATACGAGGATGAGGCGGGCGGGGGGATGAAGTTTGGTGCAGTTCGAGAGTTACAGTTGATCCGAAGATGACTAACAAGGCCGATTCGAGCCCGGAATGTCCGTTGACATCGAGGACACGTTGGAAACGGTTGTGCGGCGGCGTTGCTGACTGGGCGCAGTTGGGATTTGCGGGCTTCGCGTTTCGCTTTGGCGGCGGCGATTCGGTTGGCTTCGTGGATAGCAGCGCCCGTCTTCACTGTTCTCCTCCATGTCGGACGATCGCGGGCGAGCTCTTCACAGTTGGTCGGGTTGATTTGCAGTAGCTTGAGGGAGGACTTCAGGGTATCCTTGTATCGAAGAATTGGGCCTCCTTGACGACGAGAATCCGTCGCGACGTCTCCGTAGAAGAGCCGTTTGGGTAGTCGCTCGTCGTCCATGCGCACCAGGTGGCCGCTCCAGCGCAGCTGCATTTGTTTCAACATGCAGAAATTGCTGAGCATTCCCGTTCGTTCCAGCACATCAGTTTCGGGGATGCGATCCTGCCAGTTCAGCCGCAGGATGCGACGAAGTCAGCTGAGGTGGAATTGGTTCAGACGGCGTGCCTGCCTCGTGTACACCGTCCAGGACTCTGCTCCGTACAGTAGCATCGGCAGGATGACGGCCTTGTAAATCTTCAGCTTCGTGTTCCGTTGAAGACCGTGACGATTCAAAACTGTGCTTTGGAGACGACCGAAGGCTTGGCTGGTTTTAGAGATCCTGTTGTCTACTTCGTCATCAATCTTGGTGTTGCTGGAGAGAGTACTGCCCAGGTAAGGGAAGTTCTCCACCACTTGCATTTGGGTTCCGTTCACGCTTATTTGCGGCGGCGCACTGGAGGCTGTGGCTGTGTTGGGCGGAGGTTGGTGCATCACCACCGTCTTCTGCGTGTTAATGACCAGACCGAAGTTCTCGCAGGCGGCGGAGAACAAGCCCATGCTCCGTTGCATCTCCACTTCGGAGGTGTTGTTCAGGGCGCAGTCGTCGGCGAAGAGGAGTTCGTGAACGGTGGTCGTGGTTACGCGTGATTGGAAGTGCATCCGCCGTTGATTCAGCAGGTGACCGTCCGTCCTGTAGTCGATGCGGATCCCGGGGCGTTCGTCGCGGTAGGCGTCCATCAGCATGGCAGAGAACATAAGACTGCAGTGGGTTGGTGCCAGCACGCATCCCTGCTTCACTCCGTTAGTCACTGCGAATGCCTCTGAGACAGCTCCGTTGTCAGTGACTCGCGCCATCATACCGTCGTGCGGCTGACGCACCATCTGAGTGAATCGCTTCGGACAGCCGAATATCTGCATGATCTTCCACAGTCCTTCACGATTCACCGTGTCAAAGGCTTTCGTCAGGTCCACGAAGGTAGGGTACAGGTGTGTCCGCATCTCCTGACACTTTTCCTGAAGTTGGCGGGCGGCGATGATCATATTCGTGGTCCCACGATGACGACGGATGCCGCACTGGCTTTCTGGCAGTAGACCCTGTTCGAGATGTTTATTGAGGCGGTTGAGAAGGATGCGAGCGAAGATCTTCCCGGCGATGTTTAGCAAGGAGATGCCACGGTGATTTTCGCAGACTTGGCGATTCCGTTTTCGCTTGTATAGGTGCACGATTGTTGCGTCTTTGAAGTCTTGCGGGACTTCGCCTTAACGCCACGTCTCCTGGAAAAGCGCAGTCAGGTGATCCATGAGTTGGGGACCTCCGTGCTTGTAGACCTCAGCAGGGATCGCGTCCGATCCGGGCGCTTTCCCGCTAGAGAGCTGCTGCACGGCCCTGATGGTTTCCTGGAGAGATGGCGGGAGGTCTAGGTCCGCGTTGGTCTCCACTTGCGGTAGACGCTCGATGGCGGCGTCGGAGATGGCGGAAGGGCGGTTGAGGACGCCTCGGAAATGCTCGGCCCATCGCAATAACATACTAACGAATCACAGGGTTACTTACTGTGTGTCGTGGTTCTGGGTCTCGATTCCGCTAGCTCTTTCACTATTGACAACCAAACGTTCCAGTATTACGCCCGAATTCCAGCTACCACGCCATTGGCGCCTAAAGAATATTTGGGGAGCATTATAAAATTACTGTCCAGGCAAGCGTTGTGTTTTTTAACACAATCTTCCCGCACATCCTCTACACACGGACCACCTGCCTAGTTAGCCGTTTTGTGAATGAGACTTTACTCATATTTACTTCATTTCACCTGGAGAAGGATTTCCGGCAAGCATCAGCAGATCCCCTAGACTTCAGTCGCCTTTCTATAGTATACATACGTGACCGAGGTTGACATAAAGTATGTTTTCTCATTAGAATACCTACAAGCCACAAATTATTGCTTTCTTTGACTGATTAACTCGTCTACTGTAGACTCAAGCACACCCTTCCCTACTAATCGTACGGGCTTCATACTCAGTTCTGAATTGACATGCGTCGAGTAACAAATCGCAATAACATACTAACGAATCACAGGGGTACTTATTGTGTGTCGTGGTTCTGGGTCTCGATTCCGCTAGCTCTTTCACTCTTGACAACCAAACGTTTTAGTGATACGCCCAAAAACCCAAGCTACCACCTCGCCGGCATTGGCGAACTCCATTTCGTGTGGAAAGCGTCTCGCGGAATGATCGGAACTGCGGCCATCTTTGATCGCGATCATGTTCGTCTTAAAAGGACACTTGGCGCAAACGTGAAATATGCTGACGATGGCAGCAGTGCCTTCGATGTGAAAACTCATAGTCCATGAGGGCACTGGCATTAACCCTAAACATTGCCCTAATCTCCTCTCGCTTATTATGTGTCACGTTAACGGCTAGTGAACGCACTCCAGCCTGTGTTGAATTTCCTGCGTGCCATCCCGTTTTCAGCAGTTTTGACTCCCTTTCCAGTTCCTCCGAGTAATTGCACTACTTTGCAAATCACATAATATCCTCTCGATCAGTCGGTGTGTCTCGATGCCGTAGCGCAGTGTGGATGGTGGAAATTCCACCCGAGGGTCGAAAACGAATGCGATGTACCCCTCAGTTAGACGATTCTGCCGGAGGGCCTCGGTCAAACAAAAAACACGGAATTTGCTGAGGTCAGCAATGCCTGCATAGAGGAGGAGACGTGGAGTAGCGATGTGGAACGCAGGTTGGGCGGGTACTGGGTAATAGTGATTTTATTGTGCCAACTCATGGCATTTCATGAGTTAGCACACCCACTGTATATACGCCATTCAAATCCAACTCCGATAAAGTGCTCGCACGTAAAACCGGTGAAAGGTTATTGGTAAGGCAGAATTAAGGTGCGATACCGTCGGTGATCAGGCGCTTGGTGAGAGGGAAAGAAACGGCATTGGTCTGATTCTGGTGTCTTCGTAGGGACACAGAACGAGGGCCCTTCTCTCCGGCTCATCAAATCACTCAAGAGCACTCTCACGTCCGGGCCGACTAAGTGGCTGTTTGGTGACCTTAAATTGTCCACCGCTGATTCAGGTACCACTGTCGATTCTTGGAGTAACTTAGGCGATGAGTCTCCTGTCAAATGAAGTCGTTAGATTTCACGTTCCCTTCTAATTCTATTACTCTTAGGATTACAAAATTACTCGTGCGGAGCAGAATGGACGGAGCCATTGATACTAGTTTCGGACTGGTTATATAGCTGATGAGAAACAACCACATGAACTATCTTGATAAAGACTATGATAATGCAAAAAACCTTAACATTCAGGAAAGAGAGACACAAACAATTCAAGTACCGAGGCAAGTACAGACATGCGTTAGTAATTGTCGCATGTTTACTATCTAATAGAAGCGCTTCAGTACAAAATCACTACAAATTACTCAAAAAAGGAGTTACGTCAGAAATCTATATCGGCCTGTCAAGACGGGCAACACTAAACCAAAAATCTCGAAAGGTGCAAATGGATACCGACAGTTCGACCGCCGTTGTCCACTGTGTGCTCAACAGCAGGACGAAGCACGCACAGTGACTTGCGCGGGATTTGGTTTATAGTTAGTGTGGACTTGCGTCGAATCTACTGCACTCTCGCAGATTGCTGCGTTTATCTGCGCTGTTGGGTTTCGGGCGAGGGCCTCTCAGATTTCCGGGTGGATCTGCAGGCGCTTCAGGGAGGTTTTCAGATCACCTTTTCAGCATGAACCCGACTTTCATTCATGTTCTTTCTCCACTCTGTACAGAACACAATTTTCTAGACACCTCTTTCAATTCGGGATGGGATTCGATGAGGTTAGTGGAGAGGATTAGCGCAAGACTTCAACCGTCGTGAATGAATCGTAACTGTCTGAAGTTATTGATTTCATGCGTCAATAAATGTCTCTCTCGACTTCACATATGAATTTTCCTGCTTCACAGAATGTGGTCGAGATAGAGTGAATACAGTCAACGACATGCTCTCATGAAGCTTGATGAATATCACAAACGATATCAGCCTATCGAGTCCGGAGCACGGTTCAGATCCAATTATGCAGACCAGTCGTTCAACCGGCGTCAGCAGCTAACTTTCTTCTCTATACTCCACCCCCTTCCTCCTCAATCCCATTTTCAGCTTGATTTGAATATACGTTTATCTTTCATCCGAAGCCGGCAGCCGACTTACCATGCCTCATGGGTTTCAGAGTGTCCGAGAAACCGGAGGCTTTTATCGGGTATTTAGAAATGCGGCCGAAGTTGTCGTTTTAACCAAGAAAAAATGAACTGATTGAACCTCGGAGACAGTATACCTACAGAGAATTTGGGGGAGATTACATGGGAATATGTGATTTGTTGACCAAGTTAGCAGGAGATTTAAGAATGGTTCCTTTTCTAGAATCTATTTTCTTGTGACTACTACTGTGTAGAATTTGTAAGAAAACGCCATGTGTATGTAGGCGCTTGGGGGTTCGGAGACCCCGTGCTTGAAAAGGTCCGGTTCCGAGTTATCGTCGTCGCCCAACTTTCTCACTAGGAATAATTGGGCGCGCAACTTCTCGACGGAGGATACAGTCCTCCATTAGAACTATGGCCGGGAAGCAGTGACTCCTCACTTTGGCTTCTTTGTGGCTCTTTCTCTTTCCCTCTCACTTGTGTGAGACCTGGTACGTCCTCCATGAAGCCTGCCCCATATGGAGAGTAGGAAACCAAGTCATCGTAAAGCAAAATGAAGTTGGGCGTTTGCACTAAACTGGCATCCGGTCAGTGCGAATGACAATCGGTATGCATGTGAGAAGAGAGTGTATTTGTTGTTTCTCTCATGACACCCCTCCCCTTAGCGTCCGTGTTTCACCAATCGGAACAGTGTCGATGTTGAAGATGCAGTAGCTGTGCTATCTCATGAAACGCAGGTCAAAAAAACTGAAATATGCCTTCAGTTAGGAAAATTAGTTAAGTGCGATTTAGTACGCGGTTGCGCATGATGTGGGGGGGATAGAAGTCATCTAAGCACGCGAATAAGGGTTGCAGTGTTCATAAGCACTACAACGGCCATTCAAGTTAGACCAGCTGAAGATATTTTGCCTATGCGCGCCATATCAAAGTGTATTCATGAGTTTACATGTAGTTGTGGATGCAAGCACATTGGACGCACGTAAAGGCAGTTGGCAGCTCGTTCAGCCGAACAGATGCAGAATTGGCTGTATAAGGGCGGAAAATAAGGTACCCAGGATCTCATTTGCAAAGTCTGCCGCCATTTTCAGGCGGTAGAATGTTGGGACGTAGCACCAGATTTTTTACAATTCAGTTCAGCTTCACCATGGCTCAATTCTCGGATGGCTACTATTTATAATTTCCTGAGCGGAACACCGGCTCACCCAACGTCAACCGGATTTCATTCAATTTGCTTTACTATACTTCTATATATCCAGACTCTGAAATTGACATGGAGCATGGATGTTAACCTGCTGACCACAAATTACTGTTTTTTGACTAGGTTAATTGGCCTAGTGTGGAAATGCATCATCCTCAGTGCTGCATTGACATGTTGCGAGTGTCCAATCGAAATAACATACTGACGAATCACAGAGAGAGAGAGAGAGGACTGCTTTATTTTGAAAATAACTTTCAAAACACACTGACTGTTTGTCGCGGTTTTGCCTCGCGGTTACTTTGGCTCTTTCACTCTTGGCAACCAAACTATCCAGCAATACCCCGTAGAGAAGAACAGACCGGACAGATGCGCGGTACACGCGAATCTTAGTAGCGATGGAGAGGTCGCGGCCGTTCTATGCACCTTGATAAAGCTTAGCCGCATCATCAATTCCTGAAAATGCTGGAATGATTTGGCATCGTGTGACTCGACAATGAAAACACGACAACTCTACTTAAGTAATCTTTCTCGGATTGGAAGCACATTGCAGCATTTAGTCATTATTACCTGAGATAGCATATCTACTTTACGTCAGCCATTGGCTATGTTTGTATCCCGCCAATTACAGCGAATGAATGTCACCTCTTGGTGCTGGGGTATACGTCAAAAGGCCAGATTTTGTATCTAGGAGGCAGAATTCTGGGACGGAGCACCAGGTTTTTTGCAATTCAGTTTAGTCATCCGTGACAACCCTTGCTGCCGGGATAGGAAGGAATAGACGCAAACTCAGATAGCCGGAAGGGCATTCGGCGTGTGCTGCAGTACATTTTCTCATCCTTACGATGCAGCCAATTCTGCGATCCGGGCGGTGAACGCCAGAGACCCAGTTGCCTGAACCTACTATTTCCAAGAAGGAGAAACTTGCTGATGCAATAGATGTAGATCCGTCCTAAGGTTCGTTTGGATCACACGACATTTATGTGCTGTTTCCGAACGAATTGCCAAGTTGTCAAGAAATGTCTGGCGGTGTGCATTTGAGGAAATGAAGTTGGCGACTCCATTCATACTGGTGGCAAACGTTATGAACAGATGTCAGCAAATGTTGGGAAACCTTCGATATACTTACTTACTTGCACTTGGTAC